GATTCCATGTTTCTGGTAATGTTTCTGTGACATTCCTTTACTGTTGGACATAAGCTGTCATTTGACCGTTAATTGGATATGAGTTGTTATTCTCATTGATTTCATGTTTTTGTTGATGTTTTTTTATGACATCACTTTAGTTTGGTACATTAGTTGTGATATGGATGTGAATAATTTTTTTCTTTTTCATTAGATGGAGGTAATAAAATGCATATGTCAGTGATCAGTTTTGCATACTGCTTTCAAGCATTATAGTGGACTTTGAGAACTCTTTTCTGAACATGAAGCATTTATGTTTCTCTTTTGGCTCAGGCTCAACATAGGATTATTTATTGGTTGGTTTTTTATTCTCACAGATTTTGATTTAGCCAAGCCACACAATGTATTGCAACTACATGACAATGTGACTGTTATTGTTTTCCATTCGATGGGCAAGCTAAAACATCTTTGAATCATCCAATTAAAAAGTATCTTTGAATGTTCCTATCAAAAAATATCGAGTCTAGCCATAGATTTTCTAATGTGTGTGGAGTAAAACAAATTTTATATAACCACCCCTCATATATTTTCTTCTTTTGTAGTTTTGTACGAACTGCAAAAGTAGTAGGTTAAATTTTATTGTTTCCTTGAAAGAATAATCCCCCTGTCATGTTTAACCATCTGATAGTCTTTTATTCAGTATTGAACTCGTCTTTTTGAGCAACAGTTGCCATAAATCATGTGTTTAGGTATCTTGTCATGTTGTTCCTCCCTTAGTGAAGCTGTAGAAGGCTTAGATGGTCATGAGAGGATTAAGAGTCATATGTTTGTTTAGTTATTCCTCTCGAGTAATGAGACAAGCCCATGGTAATTTTTCTTCTTCTATTCCATTCTATTATTGTTACTGTCATTAGTAAATACACAAGTTTACAAACCCAATGCATTGGGAATCTCTCTCAGATGGTGGTCTTCACTTGGTTTTGCAATATTGGAGGCTCTGACTTGTGCTCATTATTCACTTCCATATTCCATATATGCTGCTCGCAACAGGTAATTTTGATTGAATAAAATTTATTCTTTCCAGGCAGCCAATGCCACCATCACACATGGATAAATATACGTATGACTTTTGGGTGTACTACATGTATTAATGGTTGGAAAATGTGTCCTAATTTGAAAATGTTCTATAGGTATTGCTTCCAGATATGAGGTTCTCACCTGTTAATGTGTTTGCCTGCCAATGTGCCACTATGTTATGCACTTTTCAATTTTCCAGTACATATAAACTGGTGCATCATTATTCAATCTCCTTCGGCTGCATGATTCTTATTCCATTTCTTTTATGGAGGGAACATCCTTGAATGATCGTTTGATTTGTTAAATCCATCAGTTCCCACTAATAATTCTATGCAGTGGAAATTTTGAGCTGGTCCTCTTATGTGAAAACTGTGTTTTATTTTGTCTCTTGAGTCTTGATGCAACGCCTGTAAATGAAATATCTGATCTATGATTACTATTGATCGTTGAAAACCTAAATTTAGATAACTGTTCACCCACCACCAAAGCTAGTTATACTCTTTTTTTTTTCCTTTCACATGTCTATTGCTGGTTAGGTGGAGTTCGACAAAGTTGCCTGCTAATCTGAAGTGATTTGATCCATTCCCAGAATTCAATTCATGAAATTGATAATTTATATTGCAAAATCATTTAATTTTGTGAGACATACTTTGTCGTGATATGTACTATTTGCAGGGTAAAACCTATGATGGTCACAACTTTTCTGCTTGTGTGGTGCAATGGCTATGACATGGATTTGTGACAGAATATTAGAGGCTGGATGCGATATTGTTCTGAACAAGTGAACATTTTGATTGTTATGTTATTTTTCCCTGTACTACTTTGCTAACATTAATTGTTTGATTGATATGTTGTCTAATTCAGTTGGTGTGGAGCATTGCATTTGTTTTATGATTCGGCTTGATTGCAGAATTTTTTCTCCACAGTTTGGTGTCAATCCCACAGTGTCGGGATACACATTTTATATTCAAAATTGATTGTAGTTCACGGAAAAGATTTTTGGCTCATGCCCCTGGACTATTCATAAGAACCCCCCTGCCCTGAAAACAATGTGGTCAAGCCCAGAAAAGGGAAGACAAATTCCAAACACCAAAAACATATAAATTTGATTCATGATGGAAGTCTAGGGGAATTAGAATCATCGGGAGCATCAATTTGTCCTATGTTTCCAAAATTCTATGGTGGCAAAGGAATGTTTTGTGGGACTTTTTTTGTTTGCATCCCATGCCTTTTTTATAAGAGTGACTATCAGCTAGAAACGGAGGGAAAAAAAAGATGTTCTGTCTTGAAATTGCATTATCTTCGCTTTCTCTCATTCAAGGGCTTCTTTTTGTTCTTGCTCTTTCTGCATCTTCTTCGTCTTTGTGGTAGACTTCTTTTTCTTCATAGTCTTCTTCTTCATAATGTTTTTAGTTGCTCTTTTACAAGAGACCCATATGGTCCATTCTCAACTAAATATTGCTCCAGCCCCTTCATCTCATCCAATAGTATTTAACATCCAAAAAACTGCCTAACAAAATGTGTCTTTGAGAAAAGACATGAAGGGGCTTACTAATAATAAAGATAAGATAGGAATGAAGGAGATTACTAAGGAATGACGGAGCCTAGTCTATTTGAGGCACAATGACGAAGAATAGAAGTAGTCTTGTTCATCATCGTGTTGATTTTTCCTTCTTTAATGAAAGATTGGATTTTTTGCTTCAAAGTCTAGCTTGTATCCATCGCAAGACCTGAGCCCCACCCCCTTTACTATTTCAGCAGATCATAAGTGAGCCTACTTGTTGCTAGCCTTGCAATCACGCACCTCTGATGGCCAGTGCTCAGGAAGATGACCAAACCACACCCTTGATCCGTGTATCCGAGAACACCACAAGCTCTTGGAAGTTGTGGACTTAAATATGATGCTTGTATAATTATTTTGATTTCCCTTGGGAAGAGGCCCCCCACATTACTTGTACGCTATCGGTAATTGAGGAATACTTAGGCTTAGAGGGTGGTCCCCCTTTCTTGCATAAAAGTGATCATAGTTCGAACATGCCACATTATTCTTCATAGTCTTTTTCTTTAGAGTTTTCTTCTCCTCCTACTTTTTCTTTAGTCTTTTTTTTCATATTCTACTTCTTCTAGATAGTTAACTTCTTCGTATTCTCTTCTTTTTTTTGTAACCGTCGTTTTCTTTACAGTCTTGTTCTTCTTCTTCTTTGCAATTCTTTTCGTAGTCTTTGTAGTGTTTTCTTCTTCTCTTCTTCCTCTTTTTCTTTGTAGTGGTGGTGTTGGTGGTGTTGTGTTCTTCTTCTTCTTCCTCTTCGTTGCCTTCTTATTCATATTCTTCGTAGTCGTCTTCTTTTTCGTCATTTGTCGTCATCTCTAATTTTCTTCTTATTTGCAGCCTTCTTCTTCTTGTTTGTAGTGTTCTTCTCTCTCTTCTTCATAGTATTGTTGTTGTTCTTCTTCTTCATAGTTTTTTTATTCTTTTTCTTCATCGCCTTCTTGTTCTTGTTTTAATTCTTGTTCTTTTTGTTCTTTATAGTCATCTTTTCTTATTCTTCCTAGTCGTCTTCTTTTTATTCTTTGTAGTCTTCGTAGTCTTCTTCTTCTTCTTATTCTTCGTAGTCTTCTTCTTCATATTCTTCTCCTTCTTGTTCTTTTTTTTCGTAGTTTTCCTCTTCGCAGTCTTTTTATTCTTTTTCTTCATTGCCTTCTAGTTCTTTTTCTTCATAGTCTTCTTTTTCTTATTTTTTGTTGTCGTCTTCTTATTCTTCATAGTTTTCTTCTTCATATCATTCTCCTCCTCGTTCTTTTTCTTCGTAGTCTTCCTCTTCAGTCTTTGTATTCATATTTTTATTCTTCATCTTTGTAGTCTTCTTTTTTGTACTCTTTTTTCGCATTCGTCTTCTTCTTCTCTTCTTCGTAGTGTTTTTCTTTTGCTTCTTGGTATTGTTGTTTTTTCTTCTCCGCACTCTTCCTTGTCATAGTTCCCTTATTCTTTTTTTTCTTTTTTGTAGTCTTTTTTGTGGTTTTCTTTGTAGTCGTCTTCTTCTTCATAGTGTTTTTATATTTTTCTTTGTAATTCTTCATTGTTAGTGTTTTTATTTTTCTCCGTCGTAGTATTCTTCTTCATAGTTTCCTTATTTTTCTTCTTCCTAGTATTCTTATTTTCCGTCACCAATTCTTTTTTTCGTAGTCATATTATTTTTCTTCTTCACTATTCTTCTTATTATTCTTCTTCTTGGTCGTCTTCTTCGTAGTGTTTTTTTTTTGTGTCTTCATATTCATCTTATTCTTCTTCGTAGTGTTCTTCTTTGTCATCTTCTTCATATTGTTGTTGTTCTGTTTCTTCTTCTTTTTAGGAGACTTTGTAGTTGTTTTCCTCTTCATAGTCTTCTTCGTAGTGTAATTCTTATTTGTAGATTTATTCTTCTTATTCTTTTTTTTTCTTCGTAGTCTTGCATTTCATTGTCTTCTTCTTCACTGTCTTCTTCATAGTAGTCTTCCTCTCCGTAGTTTTCTTATTCTTCGGTCTTCTACTTCTTCTTCTTAGTACTCATTGTCTTCTTATTTTTCTTAATTTTTATTTTTGTTCTTCTTCTGAATAGTTTTTTTTTGTTTTCTTCTTCTGAATAGTTTTTTTTTTTTGTCTTAGTAGTGTTCTTCTTCTTCTTCTTGGTCTTTTTCTTCTTCGTAGTTTTCTTATTCTTCTTCTTTGTAGACTTCTTGTTTGACGTAAGACTTTTTTTTTTCTTCTTTGTTGTCGTCATAGTGTCTTCTTCTTCCTCTTGTTATTTGTAGTGGTGGTAGTGGTGGTGTTCTTCAAAAAACCAGAATAAGAAAACAACTAAGAAGAAGACTACCAAAAAAAAATAAAAGACTGGACGACGTTGAAAAAGATGAAAGAAAAAGCGAAGAAAAATATGAAGTAAAAAGAGAAAATTGTGAAAAATTAGACTACAAAAAAGAAGTACAACGAAGAAGTACGACGAAGAAGATTACACGCCAATGCAAAGAAGAAAACTACGAAGAAAACGACGACTACGGAAAGGAAGATTACGAAGAAGAAAAAGATGAAGAACACCACCACCACCACCACTAAGAAGAAGAAGAAGAAGAAGGTCATGATGAAAATGGAGACTATGAAGAAGAAGACGATGAAGAGGCTATGAAGAAGAAGAAAACAAAGACTACGAAGAACACTACAAAGAAGACACGAAAGAAGAAGAAAACTACTATTACGAAGAGGATGACTACAAAGATTATGAAGAACAAGAAAAAGAAGGAAGACTAAAAATACTACGAAGAAGACGAACATGAGGAGGTAGAAGAGGAAGACTACGAAGGCGAAGAAGAAAAAAAAAACTACGCAAGAGATGGAGAAGAACACTACGGAGACAAAGACTGCAAAGAAAAGGAAGACTACTAAGAAGATGAAGATAACGAAGACGACTATGAAGAAGGAATCGATAAAGAATATGGAGAAAAAAAAAGTAGAAGACTATGAACATGGATAAGAAGACAATAAAGAAAACTACTATTACGAAGTGGATGATTACAAAGATTATGAAGAACAACAAAAGGAAGGAAAGAAGACTGGAAATACTACGAAGAAGAAGACCATGACGAGGTAAAAGAGGAAGACTATGAAGGAGAAGAAGAAAAAAAACTACGAAGGAGAAGAAGAAGAACACTATGGAGACGAAGACTACGAAGAAAAGGAAGACTACTAGGAAGATGAAGATGAACGATGACTGTGAAGAAAAAGACGAATACAAAGAAAATAAAGTAGAAGACTATGAACAAGGATGAGAAGACTATAAAGAAGAAGAATAATATGAAGAAGGAAGAAAAAGAAAAAGAAAAAGAAGATGAATAAGAAACTATAAACACTACCAAAAAAAGAAGACAAATTCGAAAAGTAAGAAGAACATGAATAAAAAGAAGATGACCACGAAAACGACTACGAAGAGGAAACGAACTATGAAAGTAAACTATGAAGAAAAAAAAAGACTAACGGGAAGGACAAAGAAGATGAAGATTATGACAATGAAAGAAGAAGACTGAGAAAAAACACCAAGAAAAAGAAGAAGACTATAGATGAATAAGATGAATAAAAAGAAAAAGAAGTAGACGCCTAATGAAGAAGACAAAGATAAGAAAGACTATAAAGAAGAAGCACACTATGAA